AATAGTAATATTATGTGTGGATAGGGCGTTCTTCAATCAAATTCTGAAGTCGGGTGTTCTTGAGAAATTTTCTGATATAGGGAGTTTTCGCACTGGCTGCCGAGACAGGTCGGTCCTTCACTCAGGTATTTATATAATATTAAAAGGGGAATCCTTTGATAAGTTAATAGTAGTTTTAAGTGCATAAGTACATACATTAACAAAATTTGAAAGTAGGAAACGTTCAATAAGTGTTTAGATACACATAAATATTTTAGTTAATTACATGGGTAAATGCAATAGTATTTAACAAATCCTTTTGAGGACTCTCCAATTGGACGATATTGCTTTGCATTCAGCACACTTTTCAGTAATCTGGTACCTTTATTTAAAAGTTATTTATACACTTGAAAAAGAATTTATGTAGAAAAAAATTAGAGATCCATCTAAATTTTTAGATGTAACTTTGGTAAACTGGTCACTGATTTGTGAAAATAATGTGATGAAAATCGTTTACCAAGGGATTTGAGAAAAATTATATTATCGACCCGCCCTAATATGTGCCCAGTTGAGGCGGTATTTTGAAAAGAAAAGATGACAGTTTTAATGCAAGCAAAGAAAATCGTATAAGTCAATACCTCCGAATAATGGCAGCGTCTTAAAATTACGTGTTTTTTACTTGTTTTTTGTGAATTGTAATCGACTCTAGCGTTTTGACTGTTACTCAGGAATTAAGTGTGCGTATCATAGACGAAACACAGCTACAAGTCGACCCGACCAGCTCACTCCTTATAAAAAAAAAATTTCCGTGAACTTGCGAAATTTTTACAAAACGCGTTATTCAGCTTACGAAATGAAAGTGTTGCCTGCTAGATATTAATAAGAATATTACAGAATCCATAGTTGATACCTTTGGCTTCAAGTGGCAGCATCGCTCGTTTTGTTATTTTTATGTTTAGTGCTACATGCAAGTGGTTTTTGTGTAGTCAAAGTTTACCTAATTTTTTTATTTTATTATCTTCCAAATTTTCGAAAATTCTCATAAACACGACATTCGGTACCCCAATATTATGTAGAATTTCCCGCTGAATCCAAATACGATGGTCTCACGTTGTGAAAATGGAACGGGTTTCGAAAAATTGTAAAATTTCGCTCGTTTTGTTATTTTCATGTTAAGTGTTTGGCAAGTGGGTTTTATATACGGTAATTTTCCTCATTTTATAACCGTTTAAGCTATGGTGCCTATTCAAGTGAGTTAAAATAATAACCGGAATTTTCCTGTAGTTTGATAAAACCTGAATTAAAATCCAAAGTAATAGAGTGTTTTCTGCATTTTCACCACTTTTCATTCAAAAAAAAAACGTCTCCAATACCCAAAAATCCAGATGTAAGTTCATATCTAAGGAATGTGTACCTATTCAAGTAAAGCGGGATGTATTTAAATATACTCTGAATAAGTACTAAATCAAACTATAAATACAAATTTTCCTGAATAATTTACACCACTTAGCCAAAATATTGTCTTAGAGTTAGCCTAATAGGAGTAAAAATCGGGTTGTACAAATATCTTGTCCACAGCGTCACCTATTTTGCTAGAGCTGTTTATTTTAATATAAGTATCTACCTCCGTTCCAAAAATGAGCCAAATATTATAGTTCGATTACCAAAGCTCCAAATAATAATCTCGACTCCGACACAATCTAACGGGTACGCCCAACAAGCATTTCAGTAAATGTTTTTAAAAATAACTTAAAGTAAGTTTGCTATAATAAGCGTTAAATAAGCATTTTTAATATTAAGCTTATTAAAAGTTTTTTCAAATAAACCTTTAATACGTTTTGAGAGCGAATGTTTATAAATAACTTAAACTTATAAATGAAATGCAAATGCCAACGACATGAAGTAGTAAATATAACATTTTTTCAATCGTAAGTGACGTGTTTACATTTTTTAAAATATATTATTAAAAGAAAAAATTAAATAAAACCGATGCGGTAAAAAAAAATCCAATCCAGGACCCGCTGCGCTAATCGGTGGAGCATTCGAGTCTTCAAATGATGAGTTCCCCTTATCCTTTCTTAGTTTAACATTCAATTAAAAATGTATTAAATTTTTTTCAGAAAAGTTCATCAATGAGAATGGCGGCTATGAAGCGGAATGTATAGCTGCATCGATGTCGCTTTTCCAATTTGCCCAAAAACGGCAAGTAATTAAAAGCACGCAACAAGATGTAATAATTAACTTTTTTATGCTTTATTTGTATGTGTTATTGTGAATTTTTATGCTAAAATGTCTATTCCCTATTTATATTTTCGCGACTGTAGATGAGTGCGCCGAAAATTCGCATTTCGTTTAGTTTCTAGATGTTAAGCAATCTATGTATGAGTTTTTAATGAAATATCTTTAAATAAAGGGTTATAAAAATGTTTATAAAAAGCTTTCTTTTTAAAGTGTTTAGTAAGTTTATATTCATACGCTTATAAACAACTTGTTTTGAACCTTTATTATAAGTTTACAATTTTACGCTTATAAAATGCTTTCTTTCGAACATTTATTACAAGTTTATATTTCTACACTTATAACCAATGTTCCTTTTCGATTATATTACGCTTACTTTCAAGCGTTTTATAAACAAAAAATCAACGTTTTGTAAGCTTAACGTTTATAATTGAAAACTAAAAAAAAAACTCTCTTTAAGTTTATTTTGCTTGTTGGGTATGTACGAGTAAATATACATATGTAAGTACAGATTAATGTACACACACATATTGAAAGGGTTGGCTTAAGTGGTTTTTATAGTATCTATCTTCTTAACATATGTATCTATAGAAACTTCAATGTAATTGCTTACAAATGTTATCTGATTTCACTGTGGCTATTTTCATACCAATTTTTTTTTGTATATAGATCATTATTACAAGCCACTTTGCTATATATAGTATTCCACTCGTATACATATACAAATATGTGTAATGTCAAAGCTGTCATGCACGGCTGGTGTCTGATCTATTTTTACTTACTTTCTTCAGTAAAGGTCTCCCATTAATCAACGAAATAAAGTCGAGTTGCGCGTGCCTGCTCTCTTTCAAAAATGATACTCAACTGAAATGCGCACCAGCGTTGCATATGCACATACTCGAACACACATACATACGTATTCTGTTGCAAGCTAGTCACTGAAAATACATATCATGTTTAACAAAATTGTAAATAATAAAACCTAATTTATATTGCTCACATAAATTATCCTAACGAGCGCAATTCATAACCATAGCTGCTGCTGCTTTACATACAGCCCACAATATAGCTTACGAGTGTAAACTGCACCCGCTGAATGTGTGTCGGCTTCGTTGTTCCGCATCTATTTTCTGAACACTCACATCTACATATGTACAAATGTATTTCTTCCCTCTCATCTTCAAACGATAATGTCCTTGCCCGCTTTACAATCCAGATTACACCACAGCCGCAGAGTCTGCTTAACTTTCGAGGCCCACGACATCCTGACCTCACCAGCACACAGATGCTGCACCGCCCATCTTTTTTATGCTTCTTTATATTTTTCATATGCGTCTAATTTATACAGCTTAAATGCGAATAGGTTTTCTACGCTGTCGTTTGAAAGTTCGATTTTGTCAGGGGTTCTAAAAAGATGAAGTCGTAAGTGATACAATATCATTCATGTTGGCTTCAAAGTCGACATATTTTAAGTTTTAAGTCTATAGACGATACGTATGCGGAACTTGTATTTTGGTTGAATTTCGTGTGCGCATCGCCATCCATCATAAAGTATTTCGAACTTAGACATCTCCGTCTATATATATCCTGCTTTCAAACCTAGAGAAAGAGCCCGGCGTTAAGATATTTGAGCCGAAAGAAAATTGCTATCGGGAGCCTTGAGAAACCTCTTCATTTGAAAGGGATACAAAATTGAAAAAGGTTTGAACTAAATGTAAGGAGTATTAAGGAGACTATTTTGAAAAATAAAATGCTTTCCGCCAAAAAAAAAATAACTATGATTCAAATAGTCACTGGCTTATCAAACTGCGTTCGTAGCAAGAAGAGTCGATTAAAATTTATCACATTTAAAAAGACCCCGACGAAATTGAAAATAAACGCCAGATAGAAGATTTAAAATTGTAGGTAAATTATCTTATTCAAAATTGATAATAAAAAAAAAAAAAATGTGTATGTTCAAGATGATCGAAATGTATGTTTTTAATATATTTACTGCGCGGTTAAATAAATTAACTGCCCAATTGCAAGAATTTGTTTCCATTTCAAACCATGCAATAAATTCTTCTCGACTGATTGGTGAAATGAAGCAATTTTTTTACAAACTTTTATTATGTTTCACCTGTGTGTAATCAAATCTGGCAATCAGTTTTTAACCAACTTCCCGATGAGCTAGAGACGTGAGACTAAAAACTGGTAATGCAATGTGAAAGATAAATTAGTCCGATAGTTGGCGCGGGTGTCGAGATATTTTAAAAACCAATATGTATGCACCGATGTGGCCCATATTTGGAATGCATATTACCTACATAAAAAGGAATAACTTTACAAAAAAAAAAATACCCGATAGGTGGCGCAGGAGTCGATATTATTTGGAAAACCCGTATCTCTAGTCCGATTTGTCCAATATTTAGAACGTATATTACTCACATGGAAAGAAATAACTCCAAAAAAAACTTAGCCCATTAGATGGTGGGGAGTTGATTATTATATTTATTATTAAAAAAATTTTTCTTAAATGACTTGTTATCAGATGTGTATGCATGTAGTAGAGGTGGAACTAACATTCCCAGCAGTTTAAAGCCTTGGGTGTCATGGATTCTTAAATTCAAAAAGTCGTACACAAAGGTGTAAATATAAACATATTTTCCTGCTCGAAACAGCCTAAATATCCACCTAAATATATTATTTTATTTATACATAAATATACATACTATGTATATATACGAGTATAATAATTTATTCAAATGACACATTTTATTTATTTTTTCTTGGCTCTTCAACAGCTCATCAGAAACGCCGTACGAAGGACACAAATGATTCGCGCGCTGCAGGTGTAAAAGCCTGGAGGATATGTGTATAAAAACAATAAAGCCCTCTAGCCAAAGGACGAAAATTTGGCTTTTGTTTGCGTCCAACCAACAACAGGAAATACAAACCGTGCCCGCACTAAGCCGAGAGCCGACGGAGTTGTAGTAACGTGACGTGCCGAAAATGGCAAAGTACTCCTCGAAGTAACTTGAGTAAACTTGAGTAAAGTACAGCAAAATTGTCAAGTAAAAATTGCCAAATTGCTCCGAGACAAGAAAAGTGGAAACAACAAAAAACAAAAAACAACAGCCAAACAGCGATAGTATAGTGCAAACAAACAACTGTAATAAAAATCCTTCAACAATAACAGCAACTCTAAGGAAGTCAACTAGCAATTGACATTAACATCCTACGCGACAGACACAAAGGCGATCCTTCCCTGTCCTCAACCAACTTGTTATCCCGTTAGCTATTATCCTTCGCCTGCTTCGCGTTT